TTATTACAGAGAAATGTGGATTTCTCAGAGACCTACAAGGAATAAAAACCCACACAAGAAGGAAAAATACTGATGTAACAACAGGGGTTAAAATTTAAAGTTTGGCAAATAGTTCAGCTCTGTAGGCAGGAGCTATGTACAAAGTGACTTTTTTGCACAGAGATCAGAGAAGGAATGAAATTATTCCCATATGCCAAAAAAAGCCCCAGAGAAGCAATTTTTTATCCCTCTCTGCAAGTCAATAACCCCTTGTAGTGGATAAGTTTGCCTCATTATGAAGCATGTTTGATGCCTGTATAGAAGACAGAGTTCTTCTCACTATTCTGCATCTCTTCAAATGTGCTGCTTTTCCAGCAATCTCATATCTGCCAAGTTGGCTCCTTTTTGCAGAGTGTTAGCCTCAACATTTCTGGGTACAGATTGTAAACATAAAATTTAAAAGCTTAAAAACTAGAAGGCAAGTCACCTAATTCTATATTATTATTATTGATATTATCAATAATAATAATAATAATAATAATAATAATAATAATAATAATAATAATAATAATAATAATAATTGTTTTTAAGCCATCTTCTGTGTTTTATGGATCTCAGGGTGACTAGAGAGGTTAGCCATACCTGTAAAGAATTGTGTCTTGTGATTATGATTGAATTTTTGTACCCTAATGAGGCAAAAAAGTCAACCTAGATCCTCAGACTACTACATACTGCTAGTACTCTAAATAGATTTGCTGAGTTTTCAGTTCCTCTGAAAGAAAATCTTGTATGGCTTCACCATCACTCTGCTTGGAGATCCTACTGTAATGATTAGCTACATTCCACTTTGAACTGTTATTGATATTCCCCATATGTAATGAAAGCCTCTAATTCTACACAGAGATATCCTGACAAACAAGCAGCTGTCTGTCTTTTTTATTTCATTGTGTTTCTTAAACTCTTGGCTCAGGTTATGTGTTTCTGGAATGTCAAATAAGGAATTTACTTTTCCGTCCATCAGTTTACACTCTGCGTGCAGTTTGATGGCATCTTGCTAATACAGCCTGGTTGCACTGTAATTCACCTTATAATCCATTGTATCAACACTGACTGTTCAATGTGTGACTTCCTAACAAGATAGCTGGTGCCTCATAGATGCTGGGTTGCCTTGGGAGAGTTGTATTTTAAAATGTATGCCCAGTATCAAAACTTCCTGGCCTGGAGTTCCCAACTATCATAATTAGATATAACTTCCTTCACTAGAAAAAGCAAAAGAAATGCTCTGCACAGGCAAAAAAGTGTCCATAGGACAAGAGGAAATGGCCTCAAGCTGTTCCAGAGAATGTTTTGACTGGATATTATGAAATATTTTTTCTCTGACAGGGTTGCCAAGCACTGGACCATGCTGCCCAGGGAATGGATGAGCCACCATCTCTGGAGGTGTTTAAAAGGTGTTTGGATGTGGTGCTTAGGGACAAGGTTTTGTGGTGGATGTGGCAGTGCTGGGTTGGATCTAAACGTTCTTTTCCAACAATCCTACCATTCTATGATCCCACCTTTCCAATCTCATGTGAGCTGTTGAGTTACACAAAAAGCCTGTGCTGCCTCCAGGTGAGCTGCATGAGTCAGTGGGGCACTGCTCGCTCCTCTTTTGGACACTTTCAGTGTGTGGATTAGATTCTGTCAATTATTTGACTTATTTGTTTTGATGCCTCAGAAAGAGCAGGAAATTGGATCAGCACATGGCAGGCCTCACTGCTGGCTGCAGGACAGGCTCTGGATGATGGAATTCTCCTCACCTGCCACTGATCCATGCACATCTGACCGTGCCTCATGCGTGCCCTGTGCTACCTGAAGATACCATGGGAATATCAGGATTTTTACAGGGCCCTTTGAAATCTACCAGTGAAGGTGAAGGTGATGCAAAAAAAGATGGGAAAATATCGTAAGATAGGCACTGGGCTGCTGGTTGATGCACATTTATAAGCCATGGATGAGTTCACAGGCACTGCTGCCAATTTTCGGTCCAAATTATGCCACAAGAAATTCACAGCAAGTCAGCGGGTAAGACAGCTAAAGGCTGGGTAAAATAAGATCTAGAATGGGGGTAGATTTCAGCAGAGGTCCTCACACAGGTGGAAGTGAAGCATCACTTGCAGGAGGCCTGCTGCTAACTCACAGGGAACTCTGCTGGACCTAAGAAACCCAAGAAAACGATGCCTCTCGGTAAACGCCCTCTGCTGTCACTACCAACAAGGGCTTTTCCTGCACAGTGCCCTCACTGTTCAGTTTGCCAGGTTTCCTGTAATATATGTGAGACCTTAACCACAATGTTTAAAGGAATAGTACAGAAAATATTTCAGTCTGAAATGCAGAGTGAAAGAAAAACTGAAGATCGTTGTCAAAAAAAGAAAAAAAAAATCTAAAATGCAAATTTTGTTTTCTGATCCCAGACTCTGTCCAGGTTCTTGATGGAATCTGTTCATGCAGACAGCAGCAGACACACACAATCTCATTGCCCTCATCTTCATCATGGATGTAGGAATCTGTTCCTGTAGTTTAGAGACAATGTGGGCTTTTGCCTTGACTTTTTCCATAGAAAAAATTTGGAAAGTAGGAAAATTACCTAATGGAATATAACTAGAAAATAGTCTGAACAGCCAGCTTGAGCTTCAGTGTTACCTTGATACAGCAGTGAGTGTTTGCAGTCAGTCATCTATTAGCAATTAATCTATGAATGTTTAGATGTTACCAAGAATGAAGGGGCAGCTCTCGCTAACCAAACAAAAAAGAAAGAAAGAAAAAAAAAAAGAATAATACACAGTTTGATTTATATGTGGCACTTAGGATGCTTCAACCATCCATGGGGCAGTTTCTTGGGGAAAAAAAAGCTAACTGCTGTTTGTAGTATTTTCCATTCTTTTACATTCACTAAGCAATGCACTAATGGTCAACCCACGCATGCAGGTCTGTGATGTGACAGAAGATGTCAGATTGTAAGTAGTGTGGATTGGCCAAACTAAATGAAATCAAATTATTTTTCATCTGGAAGCTAAGTATCTCACCTGCTTTTGGTCTACTGAACAGCACACACATATCTAAGGGTTGTATAGGCCAGGCAAAATGGGGTAGTAAAATATGTTGCTGAAGTGCTCTAGTTCTGCCTCCTTCACAGAGTCTGTAAGGCTTTTGATGTCATTTTTTCTTGCAAGAATCATGAACTCTAAATCAGAAAGATTAGCTTTATTTCTTCCTCACGCATCACCCTCAGCATGCCAGATTTATTTTGGAGAAGACACTGAGCTTCAGCTGTAGAAGTGACCACTGTCCAGGGCAGTCAGCACAGAGCCGTGATCTGCTGCCATAATTTATCTGCTTTAGTTTGTGGGTTTCGTGTCACCATTGTGTCACAACACTCCTGTGTCCGCCACAGCTGGAACTGGACAAGTGGTGATTTCCAAAGGCACAGTGCTGCTTCTGCAGCATCTGCAGGAAGATGAAAAAACTAAACATGGTGGGGAAGTCAAAAAACCTAAAGGGACATTGGGAGAACAAATGACCTGGAGTCCTGCAAGGGCCACAGCCCCGGTGTGAAAAGCTGTCCACTGGTGCCATCTTGTGGGTCCGGAGCCACCGCCCATGCCAGAAGCAGAGCTCGCTCCACCGAGGTCCAAGCCCCCGATTTAAGTCTGAGTCCCTTTTGAGTGCTGTTGAACGTGCTTCACATTTCTAAGAGCAAACATTTTTCGTCTTACCGAAGTACCAACTCTAAACCTTGGATTTTTCTCAGGCAGAGTGCATTGCATTGTATCTACCACATAAAATTACAGCCCTGTACAAGTAAACAGGACTCAGAGCAAAGGGAAACTATCATAGTCAGTGGGTTTCATCAAACATATCAGCCCACCATTTATACCTCTCCACAGAAATTATTTTTGTCTTTATTAATATCCAGACCTGCAAAATGAAGAACTTGGAACTGAACAGAATTGAATGGAAGTATTTCAGTACAAAAGACAACTCACATGGAAACACAAGCTGATCAGGTAACAGCAGTATGAGAAAAAGTAGGTTTATAGATATTATCCTGACATAAGGGTCCGCTACTCTCTTTTTGCCTAAATTTAGTTCTTCTTCCCCAGGAAGAGAGTGTAAAATTACTGAGCCTTTCAGCTACATTCCCATTTAGAAAAAGAGCTGGAGAAGTGAAATTTTATTTATAAAGTTATGACATCTAAAACAAATGGCAAAGCTATGTTTTTTAGATCAGTACAGAACTGCTGGATAAAAGTGGAGCTCCTCATACTAATGGGGGAAGAACATGCAAAACTTAATGAAAAATTAATCAAAAGCACAATCCTTTAGTAATTCTCTCATGGTCCCAATGAATCCACTGCCAACAGTAAAATGTACACCTGGCAATCCTAATACCCCATGTCAGGATCTGTGCTAAGACGTGTTAATTTAAGTGATTAAGGACTAACAACTTGGTCAACAGGTGCACCCTCATGTGGACTCTATCACTCAGCCAGGCATTCAACTCAGAAAATGTACTTTTATAAAGAACACTGGTGAAAAAAACAGACAGTAGCTTCATGCAGTTGGCAAATCTCTTCCCTTTCTAGCTTAGGGATGCAGCAACCATGGTACAACATTACCTAAATTCTGATTGCAGATATGCATGAAACTTCCAGTGAGTGTTGTCACAATGGGATCTTTGATGTCCACTAACAGACAAAAGCCTTGATCCTATTCTTGAATATATAATCTTGAAACTACAGTAATTCCTTTGATTAGCATCATGCAGAACAGAATGTGTTCTATAGCTGCTAGATTTCTTCAACAGGCAATGACTGTATATCACTAACTTCAAAAGGAAAAAAACTAGGCCAATATAATTTTTGACCCTTCCTCTTCATGTGTTTGTATGATATCTTAAAGGAAAAGCTATATGGAGGGAAGAGTTTCTGCACTGGAAAGTATTGCTGGATAACAAAGGCCTGTTCATGTGACAGGTAAGTCTAGCTGTTAGCATGCTGTAATGCATAACCATTGTTGTACATGTAATTATTGTAACTGGTCCAGTCATCTGTACACTGATATTCTTGATTAGACTGAATGTAGGGATGATAAATTGTTTCTTTTCCCAAGAAATAAGATGGAGCAAGTCTCTTTAAAACAACAGCACTGAACTGGTACGTCAGCTTCCTACGGATCTTAATGATTTCACCTGTTCTTCCATAATTCCTCAGTGCTCTGGCCATTTTCTGGTAAGTCATGATCTTGCGGTTTCCCTTTCTTTCTCCCCACAGTTCTGCAAGTTTCTCCTTGTTTTTGGAGACAAACTGGAAGACACCATTTGGCTTATCCACCCATTGGATGCAGCTTGCCATAGCTGGATCATAGAGAGTCTCATGGAGGTATTCAAATAGTCGAAGCTTTTTTCTACCTATTAAGAAATAAATCACAAAAGGTCAAAACAGAACTCGGTCTTCTTTTAAAAGATGAGCAGTTGTCTTTTTCCTGGAAAGGGTCTTACAGGCAAAAGCATAGCTAAACCTAGTATGCTGTTCCAAATGAAAAGATCACTATAAACTGTTCAGTGGAAAACCAGCAACAGCAAATGGGATCACAGAGATGTGAGCAACACAGAATCACAGGATAGTCTGAGTGGGAAGGGACCCAGAAGGATCATCAATTCCAACTCTTAAGTGAATGGCTCATACAGAGATCAAATCCACAACCTTGACATTATCAGTACCACACTCTGGTTCTGAAGGGTGTACAGATCTGTGGTGACAGAAGGGGATTTGGTCATTACCACATCAAGAGCAGGTTATGTGGGGATCATGACAAATATCTGGTGACTTCACTGTGTGGTAGGTCTCAGAAGTATCAGTCTCTAGACACATGCTGTGCAGATGCACACTCAAGGAACTCACATTAGGAAATTACATCCTCAGAGAGGGCAGGAAAGAGGTTCTGGACAGCCAGTCTGAATGTTTTTGAATAAATGGCTTCCCTGTTTATTCAAAACTCAGAGATTTTGAGATGGCTTAGTTTTGTTTGCTTTGTTTCAGGGATGTTTTGGGGATGCAAGGTAGTCTCTGATATAAAAAAGGGTAAGTAGGTGAGCAGGAAAAACAGGTTAGTTTTTAACCAGAAACTTCATGTAGTCAAGAAGAAGCTAGATCTTCTGGTACCCTGTGATAAAAATCTGTAGAAGTTCCAGTTTGCATTCCCATGCAGAAAAAAACAAGCTTGGTTCTTAAGTATTTGCCACTTATCTAAGTGCTTCTCTCCACAGGCTCAGTTCTTAAACTTCAGTTTCCTAGTGAGGCTTATTTAGTTTCACATAGATCTGGTGGATTCTCCTCTATGAAGTATTTCTAGTTCCCTTCCCAAAGCCAAGGGTGATCAAGCAGCTGCTGTAAGGAGGAAGAATTTAAGATTATCAGACAAAGAGGAACATTTTGCAGAAGAGAGAATCTATGCAGAAGAACATCTTCCACTTTAACCAAAGTGGAAATAAGCAGCTGCACCTAAAGTTCATAAAGTCTTGTCTTGTGTGGCTATTTTAAACTAGGAACAGGGGAAAAGTGACAGTTGCTAAGGAACACTGAGGTCAAGCTAAGACATCTGTCAGGGATGACAGTAACTCTGTATCTGGTGATAAGGAAAGAGGAGAGAAGTAACAGTCAGACTGGGAAGAAGAAGAGCCTGAAATCAGAGGTACTTTCCAAAAAAATTAATAAAGTTTCATAATCTAAGTAAAAATGGGCCTGTGGCTGGAAGTACATATTCTACTAGAAATACATATAGATCACTAAGAAGTTTAAAAGGAAACAGTGAAGGACACTGCCTTGTCACAGTGGACACATGTTAGTAGGTGACCCCCTTAGGCCCCCTCCAACATGAAATGTCCTACAAACTGATAGCACAACAAATAAGACCAAGGGAAAATCCATGGACTACTATGGACTAAATTTCTGCTGGAAAAGGATAATGTAGCCACGTCTGCAGCAGCACTTGATTTAGTGCTGTTTGGCCTCTTAGTTCATTGGTCATTTCTGCTCAAGTTTCTTGTGAGGTGATTGGAGACAAGCAGGTTCCTCCAGAAGGTGTTTTGGAGCATCTACATTAGATTTCAGTGCTGAATGGTCCTGAAGCCACCTAATTGCCTCAGGGAAATGCATCCAATTAAATTCTGAAGTGCCTCTCTTGACTGCCTCCACCCCACTGATCATTAGTTCAGCTCATGGAATGGTTTTGTCGTGACTGAACTGGACTCTTTTCAGAGGAAGCCTGTCTCAAAAGCTGCTTTCCAAAAGCATATCTACATCAGTGTACCCTTCAGAACTTATGACCAGCCTAAAGATTGCCCTAAGTAAAATTTTGTGAAACACTTTGAACACAGGATTTGGGCCCTCAGTGCTGATGGTTTTATCTACAGATCTATTCCTAAAAAGGCACACTGCTCGTTAGTGTACAGAAAACCTCTTATGTCTCAACAAGAAACTAGGAGGACTAAATTAATTTAGTATAGTGAAAATAGTCTCCCAAATCATAGTTTCTGGCAGGAATATCACCATGGGCACAAGGAAGTCTGTAAAAGGACACAAAATGACCCGATAAGAATAGTTAATCACTCTGCAAATATGTGCAGGTTGTCTTCTGGAAAAAAAGATTAATGGTAGAGTAAAAGAAATAGGAAACAGGAAATGAAGTTTAACAGTACAGAAATTACTGAAGGTCAAAGCAGATACTGACATGTAGAATTCCCCAATGCAACACTGGATAAGACTTGGAAAAGCAACATTTCTGTATTTGAAAGGTTTTCATTTGCAATGGTGTATTTCAGATATCTGAAGTAGAAAACTGAGAAACAGAGGCTACTCTTCCCACCATCCCAAAGAGTCTATGGTAGCAATAGCAGTAGTATAGTAGCAGTAGCAGTAGCAGCAGCAGTAGTAGTATTAGTAGTAGTAGTAGTAGTAGTAGTAGCAGCTATTAAGCAACAGAGACCACAATGTTCAGCATCAATGGGCAGAGACAACATCAAAACCTGACACCATGTGGTTAAAGCTGAGAAAAGGGATTTCAAAAAACCAGCTAAATCAGGAAGCTTCTTGAAAAGGCCTCATGGTCAAAAGTAGGTACAACAGCTCAGAGCTGAAGCTGTGAAAATCTCATCCAGCAGTAACAGAAAGGATGCTGAGTCCCTCACCACTAAAAACCCAAATAATGAATGCAATAAAAAAATGGAGTACTGCAATGACAATGTCACACGACCAATTCTTGCAAAATAGATATCAATTCAAGTAAAGTCAAGCAGAAGGATCAGAAAAATAGCCATAAAACTGCACACTGGAAGTGACAAAACCTGAAAGGTGATTTGAAAAGCAAACTAAGAAAGGCATAAAGTCTGGTGTGCAAGAATATTCATGTATGTAAAAAACCTTTAAGAAAATCACTGCTTGTTGGGCTGCATGAAATAAAATAAGTGGTATAAATAGATGAAGATGTTATTGATAGCTAGATTTACTTCACTGCATCAGACTTCATCCTAAATTATTTGAAGTGAAACATATCTCTGGCTTCAGTTGTGTCCTAGTCACTAGTAAATGTTCACTTTTTTTTTCCTGTTGAAACTTTAAAAAAAATAGGCAAAGGAGAAAGCATGATTTGCCAAGAGATTTTTTTAAAGTAACATGAATTACACATCAAGATATGATCCCTTTACAGACCTTTCCCTGCTTTTGGCTGGCCAGGAGCAGCATGCATCGCTTGACTTTCTGGAGCATTCTGCAGTGTATGGTAGACAGTCTCATCTGCATAAAAATCCGCTGTACTGTTCTTCAAGAATTAAGACAATAAAAAGTTACTAATAGAGTACATTCTCTGAATAAAAAGAAACTTGTGGTAATTAATTGCCTGAAACCTTCAAAATGCAACTTTTCACCACCTTACCCATGGAAGACTTTTCTCAGCCATGAAGGCACTCAAGTGTTGTGAACCACTAACAAGCAGCACTAATTCTTGTCCAGGGGCAAGAGCTGCCTACCAGAGGAAAAGCTGAAAGGGAAAACAGCTTAACTGCTTCACCCTGGACCTTCAACCCTTTTGTTGGAACCAGAGCAGGAGCAACTTTCAGAGCTAGGAAAAGACAAGGGCCACCTGGACAGTAGCCTCTACAGACTGTAGTTCACATGCTGTGTTGTTGTTAATCTGCTGGGTAAAAATGGGCTTTTGTGGGGTCTGTTTCTCTGAAATTATCTCCCTTGTAATATTAATTTTCCATCACTCCTGGAGACCACACTACCAGTGCTTTTAAGAGTGCATATGGACTCTAAAGACTGAGGCTGTCCTCAGATAATGCTGGTCTTTCCAGAAATTTTAGAACAAACTGCTGTTGGAGAAATCAAAATCATGGTTCTTTCTCACAGTGGCAGAAGCTACATCAGATTTTGGAAGCTGCTGTTCTATGCCTGTTCACAGGTAACACAAAGAAGCGTTTTGTCTTATAACTAATTCTCTAGTAGGTTTGCTTGTTAGTTGTCATGTCATGTGATGAACCACAGAAGACCATCAGAAGCAAACTGGCTCCTGAAAAGACATTATTAATCACATTTTGCAAATATTTCCCAAGGCAGTTTCATCTGAATCATGCCTGGCCAGACTAAATTTCTGTTAGTGTTAGCATAATAATTTGTATCAGAAATCCCAAATAAGCAACCAGTCTCCCAGTTATGTCTGACTGTTATTGGAAATGAGTTCACTCACAATCATGTTTCTCCAGCTATACCCTTGCTCCTCCACAGATGGTGCTGGACAGTAACTGGGACTTGCTCGGAGGTGGTGGTGGTGATTGATCACAGTTAGGCAGTTTTTATAACCTGGGAATTAGGAGGAGGGAGCAAAAACCAAGTGAGCAAAAAAAAAGAAGGAAAAAAGAAGGAAAAAAAGAAAGAAGGAAAAGAGAAGAAGGAAAAAAGAAAGCTATAACAGCAAATAATTTGACATGGTGCTGGGACTGTCAAAAAGCATTTATCCTGTGGCTGCCTTCTAGATAATAAAGTGTCCAGAGCCAAAATGTTCCAAATCAGGAGGTTATCCAGCAAAATCTGTACTGCTGCTGCTGCACACACCCTTGGGCTGGTTTTGTTAGCCCTCAAAATGGAAAGCAATTTTTTAAAGATAAAATGTCAGATATTTTGTAGCATCATTAAAGTCTTTGGTTGCTGGATAACAGAGGGCCATACAGACCATGAGACATAATGAATTGGATAAATATAGACTATAAAAATACACCTAGAAAGGAAAAGGGACTGTCAGGCAGTTCTGCAAGCCATCAGTACAATGCAAGTTGGAGTCTCCAATGGTAAATGAAGTAAAGGAGCATCAGAACATCTGCAGTGCCTGAAAGAAGGACACAGAAGGAACCCAAGAACTTGTGATGCTTAAAAGGAGAGTACAACACCAGACTAAAGACATTTGAAAAAATTACCCACTGCAGGTTATCAGAAGAAGATATTGGAGGGCATGGGTACATCTGTTGCAAGTGGAAATGTGGGTGCAGCTGGGGGCAGACTAAACACTGCAAGGGTTTAATAACTCCACCAGCCCTAACAATATATATATAAAGAAGAAGATTACAAGTAGTTTTATATAATGAATCCTTCAGCATGTGTAAATTACAAATGCAGTGGAGCCAAAATATTGTTAACAACAGCTGAAGATACTGCCCTACTGGTCTTATTTACATTTCATTTTATAATAGATAATATGTAAATCAACTTCCTGATATGAAAGGCATTTCACACAAAAGACAGCAGGTATTTTTTTCTGGGCTTAGAGGGTTTGTGATGTAGCCTCCTATTTTCCTTTCCTTGCATTTCTGCTTACAGTGTAAAAACAAAAGCATAAATTTAAAATTTTATAGCAATTTAGTAACCAAAATCTTGCCAAAACTAGAACAATTTACAGCTTCCTTGCATTGTAGGTTTTGTAAAGTATACAACTCTTGAAGTCAAGAAAAACAGTTTTCTATTAATTATCCAGACTCAAACAATCCTTTCTGCATTAAAATATTTAAGGTTCATATATTAGTGCTCAAAAAAATTAAATGAGGAAATTAATTTTGCTTGCTGGTCTTTTTTTCTTTTTTTTTTTTCTTTTGCATTGGGATTCAGGGCATAACAGAAGGGCATTTTGAGGTTAAAAACATTTAAACTGGAAAAGGCTGTTGCACAACAGTCATGTATCCTCTGACTATAAGAAAAGTAAGCTCAATACACCTGGGCTGCCGCTGGGAAGAGGGTAAATAGGGCCAGTCCAACAGTTTCCCTGTGCTGTGACCTGGAAGATATTCACCACACTGGGCAGTTCTCATGGGCAGGTGGAAACCCTCCAAATAATTTTCCTCCTTTTCATCCTCACAAGATATCCCATTAATCCACTTCTGGGGAACCAGTCCTCCACCTGTATGTTTCAAAAGGTGCTTTCCTGTAAAAAAGGAGCTGGGAAACAAAAAAGGGTGTTTGTTACCTGGTGGACACTGCATTTCTCTGTCAGAGTGCTGCTGCAGCACTTCTAGAGCATCTTCGAAAGCCTGGCCCAGCACGTCGTGGTCAGGAAAGCTCTGCAAGAACATTTTGCTGTCAAGACTCAGAAAAGACCAGGCTGGTTCTTTCAACGTTGTTAATCAGCTCATCCTAAATAAATACAGTGATGCTATAGAGTACACCTCTTCCTGGCACAGATTTTGGCAGGCACCAAGGGATCACCATAACCTTTTACTATTATGAGAAAGTTCTCACTCTTTGGAGGTCAGTGGGACAATTCACACAGGCAACATAACTCACTCTGTCAAATGTTTCAAGGTTCATTTCCTTAATTTACAGAAGGTGTTTACATAAAGGGTGTTACTGCTGGTGGAGAGTATTATAGTCTGTAATACAGAGATGTTTGTATCAACTGTGCAATATTGTTTATGAAGCCAGAGATATCTTTAAATAACATTGACATGACAAAAATAATGACACATAATTTCTGAAGCAGTTATGCAGAGAAAATGCTACACTATGCCATTATAGGAAACAATTGTAGATTTTCAGAAAACTGTTCATTATGATTTTAGAACACATTGTAAAAAGCAAAAGACACCCACAAATTTGAGTTTGACAGAGCCTTCTGCAGCATATTTGAAACACTCAACAATGAAAGGGAATATAGGTGTTGTAGACTTACCATTGTTTAGATATTGAGACTTGAATCCTGTTTAAAAGAACCAATATTTTTAATATTGTATGTTTCAAAACAAATAATAATTCTCTGAGCATTAATTAAAATAACTAAATGAAACAACCCCGTATTGTTTCTAGTTACAGAGTAAAATATTTTTAATAACACAGATAAAATGGATTTATTATTAGAAGATTATATTTAAATTAAATTAAATACTTGTGACATTGTAGTTTTTAAAATACAAGTTAGTTTTTGTTAATAAGTTTACAGTTTCCTTAATGCTACACCTTTATATTATTATCCACACAATTGCAAATACATTTTTAAAGACAGTATAAAGTAAAAATGTGTTATTTTAGACATTGAGTCTTAGTCAACATAATTTCTAATTTGCCCAAGAAAATACTGACCTACATTAAATGCATGTGTTTAAGTCCCTTTGGTTCACAACCAGTTGAAACAAGTTTAGAGTTTTTTTCTAATATAGATTAGCATATGACTGTATATGAACATACATAAATGCTCAGACTAATTGTGAGTCCCAGAAGAAAATATGGGACTGTTTAATAAACAGTGTAAATTTACACATTTTCAGCCAGTTTAACATGAACAATATCACTCAGAAACATATCTTTAGTACCTCCTCTTTAATTTATATTTCTTAAAGAAAACCATAATCAGGTTTTGTTGCCTTGCAGATTTTTGTCCCCCATTATAATTTACATTATTATTTCAAAGCTGTAAACATGATAATCAATATACCAGTATTTTACATATTAAATACTTGATTATTGTGCATTATGTTTCAAAATACAAAGGAGAGATAAGATACATAAATATTACTGAGGAAGAATTTTATCCAACATTAACCATAAACATTCCAAACTGGGAATTTTGCCTCAGGTAAGTATGTTATAGGGTACAGTCAAAATTTGCAGAAGTGTTTTTAAATCTTGACAACTATATGGTGGAAAATCTTAGCAACTCACTGAAATCAGTGGAATATTTCTCTCTGAGTACAGTGCAATAAGTATTTGAATCATCAGATCCAAATCTATTCTAAAATCAGAATGGGCAATGTCAATCCTTTAGTTGCAATGGTGGCCACAGATTCCTGGGGCACAGGGCTATAGAAATTAAAGACAGGAATCTGCTTTGTAAAGATCCCCACATATTTTCCCCATAATATTAAGTAATTCCCTTCCCTTAAAGTGATTTTTTCTAACTCAGACTCCAAATTGATATCTTGACAGAACATCTACAGCCACCTCAATGCTTTGCAACATCTAAAAAGCACAAGTATAGGCAAGGTACTGTTGAATGGTCATACCATTTACACCAATGAATTCATGCCAAAGAAGAAAAAGGCACACCTTAAGTAATCTTCAAAAAATAAAAACAACAAAAAAAACCCCAAAAACTGGACACTTACCTAGAAATTCAGTTCCACACACAAGACAAGAATCTGTCTGGTTTTGGAAATGAAAGAAAGACTGAGTTCCCACAGCAAAGGACTGGCAAAGGGGCTGCATTAAATAGCTGATTTTAGGGAAGTGTTTTGCCTAGGGATTTTTTTGAGAGTATAGGTATAGTAAACTGCTGGCATGTCCCTTCATTCTGCACAAAAGAGGGTGATTTGTATGGATTTAAATAAAATTAAATGTTTTAAATATTGTCCAAAACGTGTTTTTTAAGCACTGGGAGAGATTCCTTTTGTCTATGGCACCTTCTAACAAATCTATCACTGGTATCTTGGTAGGGTCAATCTAAGGCAAAACCCTACATCCCTCATCTGTCCCACACAGACTGCAGTGGATGTTGAGCTTTTATCTGAACTTTCTTGTTAGTTCAGTGTAAGAAGTGGACCAGACTAGATCTAAAAAGAAGAGTTTGAAGGAATTTCAGAGTTTTGCTTCAAAGCTCAGGTTTGTAGCCCATGCCTAGCTCGAAAACATTGACTGCAGCATTCATTCAGTACAGACTCAGACAAGCTGTAGTTGATGATCTGCCAAACACTTTTTGAGCTGCTCCAAGACATGCTGTTGCATCCTACAAGAGCAGAACTCTCTGGTTTTCAACTCAGTGCTTCTTATTGCTGACAAAATCTAGTCTGTGCCGTAGCTCTTTCCAGCCAAGTCTTTCAGAAGTACATTTTGAAGAATTTCCTCAGCAAATGCCACAAAACTGATGTAAAAAAGTAATT